CTCCAGTCTGATCCCTGGTGAGGGAACCAGATCCCACATGCTGCAACTAAGAGCTTTCACGCCACAACGAAAGATCCCACATAAGGCAATGAAAAGGATCCCCAGCACTGCAACCAAGAACCACTGCAGCCAATAGATTTTTTTTTTTTTCAAAAATTCTGTAACAACCTAACTGGGAAAAGAATTTGAAAAGGATACATGTATGTGCAAAACTGAATCAGTCAGCTGCACACCGGAACCCAGCACATTGATGATCAACTGTTCTCCAACATAAACTAAAAGGTTTAAAAACACTCACTGTGCTCAGAAAACAGAAGCAGGCTTACAGAGAACAAACCCGCGGTTACCAGCTGGGAGGGGGCTGTTGAGGGAAAAATACGAACTACTGAGTGTGGACGGGCTCGAGGATGTCTCACAACACAAGCCAATATTCTGTAGTGACTGTAAACGCATAGGGCTTTCCAGGTGGCACTGGTAGTAAAGAACTTCCCTGCCAATGCACAAGATGTAAGATCTTTGGGGTTGACCCCTGGGGGTTGGGAAGATCCCCTGGAGGAGGGCAGGGCAAGCCACTCCAGGATTCTTGCCTAGAGAGTCCCATGGAGCCTGGTGGGCTATAATCCACAAAAAAGAGTCAGACACAAATAGCAACTGACTTAGCACATAAATGGATAGTAACTGTTAAAAACTGTATTAAAAATTAAAATTAAAAAACCATTCTGTTAAATGAAAAAAAAAAAAGCAGATACAAAGACAACACAGTTTATGACTCCATTTATATAAAATTTCCAGAAAGGGCAAACCTATAAAAATGGAAATCAGCCTGGAATGAAGGCATGAGGGAACTTCTGGGGAAGATGGAGACGTCCAAAAACTGGATTGTAAGGAACTACAGAAACTGTGTACATTTACTTTAAAAAAAAATCAATGTGTTGTACCTTAACAATGGATGCATTTTATGTGATATAAAGTAACCCAAGTCTAAGTTGCTCAGTCCTGTCAGACTCTGTGACCCAGTGGACTGTATGTAGCCTGCTAGGCTCATCTGTCTAGGGGATTGTCTAGGCAAGAACACTGGAGTGGGCTGCAGGCGGATTCTTGACTGTCTGAGCAACCAGGCAATACAGACCTGGGTTCAGTCCCCGGGTCGGGAAGATCCCCTGGAGGAGGGCATGGCAACCCACTCCAGTGTTCTTGCCTGGAGAATCCCCTGGATAGAGGAGCCCGGTAGGCTACAATCCGTGGGGTCGCAGAGTCAGACACGACTGAGCGACTAAGCAGAGCACACAGCACTCCCGCACTGCAGGTGGTTTCTTACCATCGGAGCCACTAGGGGAGCCCCATACCCAACAAAGCTGTCTGCCCCCCCCCCGAAAAAAAGCTGAAGCAAACTGTGTACCTAAATACACAGCTGTTTAATTCAGTTCACATCCAAAATTTCCTTGTTCCCCATTTCCATATACATCAAAAAATCAAAGCATCCTGTCCAAGTTGGCCACGAGATCCCAAATCATTACTCAGGAAAGGCAAAGTCTCGGTTCTGCCCAACCTGCTCTCTACCTATCACACCAGGGCGCCTACTTATCTGTCTGGAATCATTTATGTGGTTAATCATTTCCTGGATTTGATCAGGAGAGAGCAATGAAGTCTGTATTTCTCAACTTCCCACCATCAAAAGTCCTTCTTCTCAAAGGAGCGTTCTGGAAATGACCAATGGCAAACCTTACACAAAAATCTAATTATCACTATTTGGCCTAGTGAACGTCTAAGATGTACTGAGTGCTTAGTGTTCCAAACTTAAGATGGATTAAGTCTCAAAATAAACAATCCTAGGAGGTACACACATAATTATGGGGTTCCCTGGTGGCTCAGAAGATAAAGAGTCCGCCTGCAATGCTGGAGACCTGGGTTCAGTCCCTGGGTCGGGAAGATCCCGTGGAGGAGGGCGTGGCGATATTCTTGCCTGGAGAGTCCCACGGACAGAGGAGCCTGGTGGGCCACAGTCCCTGGGGGTGCAAAGAGCCGGCCATGACTGAGCAGCTGAGCCACGAGCACACAGAGTGTCAGTCCCACTTTACAGGTGAAAAAACTAAAACCCAGAGAAGCTGAGTAATTTCCCCCGAGCCACACGGCTAGTGAGGGGCAAACCCAGGCTTGCACCTGGTTCTCCAATCCTACGCCCATGCTCCTAACCAGTCTCTTGTGTTCCACCAAGAGGAGAATTTCATTTAGCCAGAAGCAAAGCACATGATGTCAGAAAAAAGGTTTCCAGCGATGTGAGGCAAATGCTTATGTCCTAACAAAACCACTGCAATAGTTTTCTCAACATCAGGATGTGGTAACTTTCTCAAGACAGAAACGAGCTTTGGGGCTATGGGATTCCTCCAGCAAATAAACTGCATGTCTTGGCATATGCGGAGTGATCCCAGCATTAATTATACTCTGTCTTCTGGGACCTGTGGCACCTAGGTTTTTGGTTTCTTTAACCACAAAATCCCCCAACCATCCTACAGCTTAGAGCCATTAGATAAAAAGAGTTGATCAGGTTCAAATCCATCCCCCGACACTCCTATGACTTCCAACGAATTATTTAGCATCACTGAACCTTGGTTTCCCTGGTTATAAAATGAAGAAACGAGCTCCAAAAATTCACACAGTGGTTATGAGGATTCAGGCACAGGCCAGGTGGCACAGTGGTAAAGAATCCACCTGCCAATGCAGGAGACGAAGGAGACTCAGGTTTGATCCCTGGATTGGGAAGATTCCCTGGAGCAAGAAATGGCAACCCACTCCAGTATTCTTGCCTGGAAAATTCCATGGACAGAGGAGCCTGGCAGGCTACAGTCCATGGGGTTGCAAAGACTCACACAACTGAGCGATTGAGTATGCATTTTATTTCAAGTGCCCAGCAGAGAGTCTGACCATCACAAATATGTTTGCTTCTTATTTCTTTACCTCACCTCCCACCCTGGAATTACAAGGTTTTCCAAAAGTGTTTCCAGATACCAAGATCCCCAACTTGACAAGGCCACTCCTAAAAACGCAGATTAAATATAAGAACATATATGCAAACACCTGGAATTCCAGATACCTGACTTGAATTTGAATCCACGTCACTGCTCAGGAAACAAATTAGTTCCCGGTGGCAAATTCTAAAGGAGAGGCAATCCTCCACTCCAATACTAAACAGAAACCTTTTTTCCCAATTGTTGGCACCACTCGGCCCCTATGCTAAGGGTGCATATTTCTCTCATGGTAATCATCACTTTTAAATAATTATTTGCATTTTTCTCTCTTGCATTGAATGAGAGGTTCTCAACTATGCCGACACATTAAAATCATCCGGGGAGCCAAGAAAAAATAAGGTAGATAAGACAGATAAAGATAGCCAAGTCCCACTTTAGATTTTTACTTCAAAGGTCAAAAACGCGGCAGGAATGGTCATTGCTAAAGCTGCCCAAGAAGGGACCGAAGGCCCGCACCTGTTGTCAGGGCTTGTTTAGTTCAGCTTTGAACCGTCTCCCCGCAGAGCCTCCACACACAGTAGGCATTTGTGTAACTGTGGCATGAATTAATAACTAGAGGGCCTCAGAGGCCACTGATGTTATTAACTCATTAAAACATTCACTGAGGGTGTTTATTACATGCAGGCCCTCTTCCAGGCATAGGGCTCAAGCCGTCACCGCTCTTTAGCCTTGAGAGGTCGGGATTAAAACGTAGGCCGAAAGTGAAGAAAGCTGTGAAGGGCAGTTCACCTCTGGCTCAGAGATCCTGAGTTCAGTCTGCGTTTTGCAGCATCTTCGCAGAGGTCCCTGACCCCGCTGGGCCTCTGTCTTCTACCAATGGGGGTCTCCTCCCCGGAAGATTTAAGGAAGATGGGGGACAAAGACCCCACAAAATGGCTGCTGGCATCATCCCTTCCCCCACTTTTAAAAAAATTCCACTGACACCTGGTGAAGTCACCCTAGGTGTTCATCCGGCCCACGCCCCTGCATCAAGCAACCGACGCCGCACAAAGCGGCCGCCACCGGGAAGTGCGCGGGGAGAACCGGACGCCAAAGCGAAGGGCGGCCCGCGGGGCCCGGCCCCGCCCAGCTGCCTTCTCCGGCGACCGCAGCCCCACCTGGGCAGCCTCGGGAAATGCACGCTTCCAGGTCCCACCCCAAGCAGTCACCGGCGGGCCCGAGCGGGGCCAGGAATCAGCATTTTAACCATCTCGCCTCCCCCGCCCCCCCCCCCCCCGCGGTTTACTCTGCCCCAGTAATGCCACAGCCCCTGAAAACCTCAACAGGTCAGCGCCCTCCTCCCAGTGGGAAGCTGTCAGGGCGCAAAACGCCCGCGCCTCCTCTTTCCGAGTGAGTGCAACCCTCACGAGGCGGCCCAGGGGCCTGCCTCTGCGGAAACGTACAGCAGGTGGCAGCCGCCGCCCCTGACCGGGGCGGGGGTGGGGGGGGGTGCGGACCGCGGGGAGGGGGTGCCCAGGCGACCAGCAGGAGCCCCTCTCGCCCTCCGGCGATCCAGCCGGCGCCGGGGAGGGAGGGCGGCCATCTGGGGGCGGGGACCCCGCGGCGGGTCTGCAGCGGGGGCAAAGCCAGCCGAGAATTTCCGGGCTCCCGAGGGCGGTTCCAGGAGAAAAGCGAGGTTCGATATGGACCAAATCGGAATTACGAAGACAAGGTGTAATCAGGAAACAATAAAATGGATAGAAGGCGAGGCTGATCCCAGTTCCACAGCGCCGGGCGGGCCCGGCCTCCCGCGGCGCCTAAAGCAAGGCAGGCAGAGGTGCCCGGCAGCCGGGAGCTCGGGCCCGAAAGGGACGCGATCGCGCCGCGGTGCCAGGCCGGGTTGAGCCGGACCGCTCCCCGCCCGCCCCTCCCCGGGCCCGGCCGCCGGCTCATGGCGCCGGCCGACCTGTCAGGCCCGGCCCGGCCCGCCCCGCCCGGCGCCGGGCTGCGGCCGCGCGCGGACAAAGGAGGGCTGCCGGCCCGGGCCCCGCTCACCCGGCGCGGGGCCTGCTGTCCATCCGCTTCTTCTGGCGCACCGGCTGCAGCGGGATGTTGTCCGTCATGTCGCCCGCCTTGGCCGCCGCGCCCCCAGCGCAGCCTGGGCCGCCGCCCGGTCCGGCCTCCGCGCCACCGCCCGCCGGCGCCGCGCCGCCCCGGGGGAGGAGGCGGCGGCAGCGGGCGGGCCGGGCCCGCAGCGACGGGGCGAGCTCACGAGCGCCGGGCCACGCGCGGAGCCGCCCGCGCGGCCCGACCGACGGACACGGGCGCACCATGGGCCCGAGCTCCGCGCGCCGCCCGCCCGCCCCGCGCCTGCCTGCCTGCCTGCCTGCCTGCCTGCCACGGGGGGCGGCCCGCCGTGTCCGCGCGCGGCCGCCGCAGAGGCCCCGCCCCCGGCCCGCGCCGCGCGCCCCCCACGAGCGCCCACCCGGCCGCGCGCCCCCCGCCCACGCCCCGCCGTGCGCGCGCCCGGCCGCCCCCCGCCCCCGCGGACGCCACTTTCACCCTCACATGTTCGCCTGTGCGCACACGCACACGCCACCAGGCTCACTCTGCACACGGCATCCATCCTTTCACGGGCTCACTCTTGCACACTCACACGCGAGCCACACACACATTCTCACCCGCCCCCTTCCTACCAGCGTCTGACAGTCACGCTCACCCGCACAAGCACGCACCCTGCCACACTCACACCCATTGTCCACCCTGGACCTCACACACGTGTGCCCCCGGGAATCACAATCACAGGGACACACTGCCTCACTGCTCTGCAGACTCCCTCAGCCACCATCCTTCACCATCGCTGCCCCCCACTCTCCCACCTGGACCCCGAGATTCCCCATCACAGAGTCCACTCACACACCTACACACCCTCCATCTCACTCACCCCTCACCTGGCTCGGGCTGACACGCGTGTTCTGTCACACAGACACATTCAGCCACACTGAGACACACACGGGCTCCTCCGCCCAGACGCGCGTCCACACCTACCCCCTCCCACACAGTGTCCAGGATCCACTCACTTTCCAAGGACCCTGATAAAAACAAGAACAGCAAGAAAACGAACAGTGGTGTGGGAAGGAGGGAGGGAAGTTAAAAATCCATGTGTAATAAAAGAACCTCAAAATGTAACACGGTGTTAACTAACCTACTGCAACTAAAGGGAATTTTTAAGTAGTTACACCTAACACATTTATTGTGGATGTGAGTGCCTTTTCATTCGTTTGCTATGAATAAGGGCAAAGCCACTGAGTGTCTGTGTCCAAGGCCCTGAGTAAACGAAGGCAGATAGCAAACCAAGAAGTGTGACTTATCTCATGTCCCGATGAAGTTCCTCAAGAAAAGCATGTCACTAGACGTTGCCGCATTGCACCTTTGAAGGGGAAGCAGTATTCTCTGGCTAACAGACCTGATCTGCTTTGCGTCCTGTTTCTCTGCACATAGGACGGTGCCAGGCACGCAGCATGATGCACAGTCAACTCTCAGAAAAGGTTTATTGAGTGGAGGCAATGTAAACACCCCGACCCACCAATTATGGCATCAGAGGGGGCCCCACCCTCTCCCACCTGCTCCCCAGAGGTCCCCTCTCAAACCCCACCCACCTCAGACCCTCTTGTCTTGCTCCACCACCACGCAGGGGACAGAAAAGACCAAAGAGATCATGGCCCTTTAATCCAAGGGCCCCACACAGCTGGGAGCCAATAAATGCAAGCTCTTGTTTTTATCAAGCACCTAAAACACACATGGAATCTCGTATTTCATCCTCCAAGGGGCCCTGCCAGTCGAGTCTAAATGATCACACCCATTTCACAGGTGAGGAAACAGAAACTCAGAGCGGCCTGCCCAAAGCAGCCTGGTTAGGAAGGAACAAGACTGGGCTCCCAGGCCTGGTCTTCTGTGCTCCAGAAGGAAGGAAGAATGCTTTCCAGTGACCAGTGGGATCAGTGATCGTGACATTTCCAGGCAACTACGAATCCTGGTCTCAAACACCTTCCAGCTCCCTCTGGTCCTTGGGGCGCCCACCTCTGGCCACCCCCGCGCACCAGGCTGTGCCCTCGCTGTCTAGAGTACAGAGTAATAATAGTGGCCCCTCACCTGAGATCCTATATCACTTCAGCACCTCACAACTGTAGAACCAGAGGCAACAAACAGTTGGGCCTCAGTTTCCTCATCTGTACAATGGGGTGCTTCCCTGGTGGCTCAGATGGTAAAGAATCCCTGCATCAGGAAGATCCCCTGGAGAAGGGAATGGCTGCCCACTCCAGTATTCTTGCCTGGAGAACCCCATGAACAGAGGGCCTGGCAGGGGTCACAAAGAATCGGACCCAACTGAGCAACACACACACACACTGGCCTCATAGGAGTGTTGGGAGGATTAAATGAACGAATGACGTACACAAAGCAGTTTGAAAGCTGCACACATATAGGGAGAATTGTGGGCAGCTCAGGATTGTTGCAAGAATTCCGTGCAGTCATAGCAAAACGTAAAACAGTGCAATGCATGTCACATAGTAAATTCTCACCAAGGTTAGTGATTATAATTTCTCCTCCTCTTCCTACTATAAATATTAAAGATTTTTACTAATTAAAGAAACAACAAGGCTTCTCTGGTGGCTCATTGGTAAAGAATCTGCCTGCCAATGCAAGAGACATGGGTTTGATCCCTGGTCTCGGAAGATCCCACACGCCACCAGGCAACTAAGCCCATGAGCCAGAACTACCGAGCCTGTGCTCTCGAGCCCCGATACCCAGCTGCTGAGCCCTCACGCCCTGGAGCCCGCGCTCTGCAACCAGAAGCCACTGCAGTGAGAAGCCCGAGCACCGCAACTAGAGAAAAGCCCTTGCAGCAATGAAGACTCGGCACAAAGAAAATAAACAGAATTCTTTTTTTAAAATAGTAAAAAACAAAAATACCATCACAGTGTTAGCAAACAGTGGTCTCCGGACAACATTCTAGGTAGATTTTTGAACTATAATTAATAATTATTTCTGTAGTAGGTGGTACAGAGAGCTGCACATACTCACTCCATACCCACCCTGACCCCAAACCCAGCAGTTTTCCTCATTAACATTTTGCATGAGTGTGGTACATCTAAATGGATCTGAAATTTCTCTTTGTCTCTACTTTCTGCTTTTTCTCTAATCAACAGGTATCACTTTTTTTCTTTAAATGAATTTTGAAAAGACCAAGAGCCCCTCCTAATCTCCAAAGGTAAGAATATTTTCATATGAAAAGAGAGGTGCTTTTTTTATTGCCTTTGCATTTTCCAAATTTCTTTCTGTGTGCTTTTATAATCACTGCAGAAGACAAAAATGACTCCCTTCCAGGAAGGCAATCCCTGAGGAAGGGAGGCACTTAAAGGCTTTTATCTCTTGGTGAGAAAGATCCAGATGCTTGTGTGAGATAGCAGAGGCCTGTGGGGCTGGCGGGAACAGTGCCAGGGTAGGGAAGAGCAGCAGAGTGGGCAGTGAGGGGGTGGGGCTGGGGGGAGGGCATCAGAAGCCCTTTTCCCGGCTCGGCCCTGCCTTCTCCCGGTGGCCCTAGAAACAGCTACCTATCTTAGGGTCCTGCTTTCTGAGGAGCCCCTCTCACGGCCTTTGACAGCCCTGTCCACCCAACAGGCTCTGGAGCGGGCTCCATCCAACAGGAAGTCACTGACCCCTAGAAACCTGGAACAGAATGATCTTTGACAGACAAGCCAACCTAGTCCAGCCTCGTCTTTCCGCAGAGGCCCACAGAGGTCACCAAACCTCACCAACAGATGTTGGGCCCGGACCATAATCTGTTTTGAGACTCAGTGCAGCCTACCCTGGGGCCTCGTCTCCATAGCTCGCCAAGCTGGCTGAGGCTGTTTGCAGAACGCAGGTGGACAGGAGGACAAGGGTACTAGCAGGGGTGAGATCAAGGCAGAGAAGAGGGGACCGAGGACTTAAAGAAAATGTTCCGGATAGGGACTTCCCTGGTGCTCCAGTGGCTCAGACGCTGCCCTGCCCATGCAGGGGGTCAGGGTTAGATCCCCGGTCAGGAAATTAGCTCTAACATGCCGCAACTAAGAGTTCACCTGCCTCGACGAGATACTGCAACCAAGACCCCGTGCAGCCAAACTGATTTTTAAAAACGTTTTGGGTAAACCCAGACTGCGGAGACTTGCTTTGGGCCTACAATCTTCTCTGTGAATGAATGCCCCAGGTAGTCCCTTTGAGTTTCTCAACTTGGGCGCTACTGACTTCGGGGCTATTCCCAGATTGGGGGGGTGCTGCCTTCTGCTCTGTAGGATGTCCAGAAGCATCCTTGGTGTCCACCCACGACGGGCCAGGAGCAGCTCAGCCCCTTCTCCCAGGTTGTGACCTCCACTGACGTCTTCAGACGTGGCGAAATGTCCCGAGGGTAAAACTGTCCCTGCTTGAGACCCACTGGGCTAGAATATGATGTTAATCTAGTAAGACCGTATCTCTAACACTGACCTCATCTTCCCGGTTCCGCTTTTTGGGGGAAAGAACTCTCTAAGTGCTTTCCATAAGCAACTATATCTAGTTAGGATTTAATTATATTAGTTTGTATGGTACTGTTTTTATCTCCAAACAGACATTGGGGAATTTAAGGAAAACAGCACTGAACATTCATTCATTCAAGCCACCTTCACCTAGCACCTACAATATTCCGGGCACTGGGGATACAGTTAACAAGACACACAATACCAGCTGCCCAGAGCTGAGGTCTCTGCTGGTTCCTAGAGCTAAGACCGAAATGGGCAAGATGACCAGATGACCTGCCTAGCAGGCCTTCTGGGTTACCTGCCTCTTTCATTGTCACTGAGCTCTTTTACAACAGAATACTGTAGTTAACACAAACGATTCTCCTTGGTAGAGATGCAAATGAGTTTCGCCCAGTGGAATGCAGTTGATTCCAGCCCTGTGAAGATTGACTCTGTTTTTCCATCAATTTACTTCAATCTTCCTGATTGCTGGAAATTGAGTTTTTTCAATTCTCCTTTCAATCAGTTCTAACTGTTGATAGAATCTTGGATACATGTTCATTTTCCATTTGTAGGAGTCTTGATTTTCCCGTTCCAAAAGGTTATACTTTAACAGGATAGACAGAAAATAAACAAGCCAACATTTCAGAGAGTGCAAAACGCCATGTAGATTCTACAACAGGGAAGCACAAAAGAGGTGCTTTTATCCTTCTTACTTGATAAAAAGTTGGCAACTGTAAGCGTTCTCTTCTATTTCCCCATTTTTAAGAACAGTTTCCTGCTTTGTGGAATCCCAAAGGTGAGCAATCCTAAATTCCATTATCATTTCCGGTGCTCTGTCCACTGGGGTCTTTACCACACAAGAACTTGAAGACAGAATCAGCCTACAACACAATTAACCCAGGATATTTAGGAAGGTCAGTGAAAACCATTTCTCCCACCAGGATGGCCTGAAAGCCATCAGGATAGCCAGCAAGCATTAAAAAGCAAAACAAAACAAAAGCTGGTTCGGGTGAAGTTAATAGTTAAAGAGGCAAACTTAGACGCCAGGTGTGTCCACAGCACAAACCACGGGATGATAGAGAAGGCCATTTCAGTGCTTTTCACTTAAGGACCAACGGTTATCCCTTCAGCATAAAACACACCTCTGTATCCTTTGTCCCAAGCCTTTATAACACGGGTATTTCTTTCAATTTACCTCTTTCCCTGAATTAATGGGCTTCCCTGGTGGCTCAGGAGACATAACAGACACAGGTTCGATCCCTGGGTCAGGAAGATCCCCTGGAGAAGGAAATGGCAACCCACGCCAGTATTCTTGCCTTGCCTGGAGAATCCCATGGAGAGGAGCTTGGCAAGCCACAGTCCATGGGGTCACAGAGTCGGACACAACTGAGCAACTAACACAACTGAAGTCACTGGTTCCGTCCCTGGCTCTGGCTCGGAAAGAGTCCACGTGCCTCCAGGCAACTAAGCCTGAGGCTGCAGCTACTTTAGTCCCTGAGCCCCAGAGCCCGTGCTCCCCTAGAGATGCCGCCGCAACCAGGAGCCCGCTCGCTGCAGCTAGAGCGGCCCGACTCGCCACAGCCAGCGAAAGCCTGCGAGCAGCAGCCAAGACCCAGCACAATCAAAAATTTAAAAAAAAATTTTTTTTTAGACTCTGAACCGCAAAGTTTGATGCATCTTTTAAACACATTTGTGAGGTCTTACCTTAATACCTCAACTGCAGCATCCACTTCAGAGAGGCAAATTTGCTTCCTTCGCCTCGTTTTGGCCGTGTTTAGCTAATGCTCCATTTTCATTATTTAGAAATAGTTGGAATTCGTCACAGCAAAGTGGTAAGGACCTGGGAGTTTTTTTGGCATTCTTTTATTTAGGGGGAAATCTGAATTTTCATGGATAACCAGGACCAAAGCAGGATCCCTAGACCAAAAGCAGTTGCTTCTCTCAGCATATGACAGGTTAATAGCTCTGAAAGCTAATAACTCACTTTCTGTGAAAAGAAATGCGCATTTCTTTCTGTAGCCGTTAATGACTTTGTTTGGAAATAAGGAAGCAGAACTGAGGGAGTTCCCAGGACAGAGGAGGATTAGGCCACAAGCAGCATGTGCTTTCTCCACCAAAAAGTGCCCCTTCAAGTGGCTATGGTTACGGAATCTATAAAGTAAATGGGGATGAGCAGAGAAGAAAGCAAAGGCACCAATTAGCCACTGCGGTGTTCAGATCTTAATCAGAGACAAGGGACTCCCTGGTGGTCCAGTGGTTAGCGCTGCACTTTCCAATGCAGGGGGGACTAGTTCAACCCCTGGGTGGGGAGCTAAGACCCCACACGCCTTGTGGTCAAAGCCCACAAAACATAAAACACAAGCAATATTGTAACAAACTCAATAAAGGCTTAAAAAATGGTTCACATTAGATTAAAAAAAAAAAATACAAGGTCAGAGTCACAAACAGCCAAAGATAGCTCTCTGATGGATTCAAAATAGGCTTCCCCCAAACCCAGGAAAGGGCCTACAACTAAGGTTCTGCCATTTTGTAACTTCCAGCCACAAGCATTCACATGTCCTGGGGTAAGCTGACCCAGGCGGTGGTGGGCAGGGGGATAAAATGTACACGCTGGAACCAATGAAGATGCAACTCCCCCTGAAATACTGTTGCTGTTTCCGTTATTTGAAGACACACAGAAAACCCACCGTAGAATTACCCCCACCGGCCTACTCTCTCTGTACATTACTAGAGGATGATGACGTATGCCATTGCACGCATGCTTCCTGGGTTACGAACGCCAGGAACCGTGGTCTGGAAGGTGAAGGAGGCGCCCACCACCTGGTGGCTTTGGCCCCACGTGCCTTCCTTCCTCAGTCTCAACAGACTGAACCAAGAGAATCCTCGTGATCCACAGTTGGGACCAATCTTTATGCTCATCTAATCTGGGACACAGTTAAGTGTTCAGTACGTTCGCCATTTCGTTTCACTCGTTTGGTTCAGGAAGCTGGAGTATCCCCCTTGTGCTGCATGCTCAGCCCCTTCGGCCGCGCCGCCTCTTTGCGACCCCGTGGACTGCAGCCCGCCAGGCTCCTCTGTCCGTGGGGTTTTCCAGTCAAGAGGACTGCCGTGCCCTGCTCCAGGGGAGCTTCCTCACGCAGCGTGTCTCCTGCACTGCAGGCGGATTCTTTACCACTGAGCCACTGCGGAAGCCCCTACCCTACTTAGCTGGGTGGAATTTCTCCCAAGGCAGCTGGAAATGATCGTCAGGAAAGGACTCTCAGGTGTGGAGCAGAAAATAACAGAAAAATGTACATACACGCCGGGTGGTGAAAAAAAAAGAACCATTCAAAATTTATTCTCCAACAGACAGACAGCATCAGCAGGTAAAAACTACAGGGGTTTCTCCGTAGATCATACATTCACAAGGCATTATTAAGCTTAACAAGTGAGAAAGCCTCTGGTCTATCTTCTGTAACAATATCCGCTTCACAGTGTAAACAGGTACTATTATTATGTTCACTTACAATTCCAGAAGGAAAGGCACAACTCGGCAAAACAAAACAAAAAAATTTGGGGGGGTGGGGGGGAATCCTAAAGTCAGGTGCAATTACCAAGAGACAGACTTGAGAACAGCCACAATCCACTCTTCCAAACAGAGGGGGCTAAGACTTCTCCGCCCAGAAATGTGGGTCTTTCTCCTTGCTTGTTAAATCTTCCAGAGGAACGCTTCATCGTCTGCTTAATATCACATATACAAAAGGGGGGATTAAGAAGGAAAAAAAAGAATCACAACAACATCTTGAACTTCCAGCTGCTGCCACCAATACATCAACTCTTAGGTTTACGATAGGGTCTAGGAACACTTCAGCGGTCATCCAATAGGAAAATAGAGACTATAGCTACAAAAATAACACATGAATGAGGTAGATAAATTAAAGCTTTCACATCCAGGACTCGCCTGTCCCAACTTGGTAGCCTTCATGCAATACTAAGAAGAAAACAAAAAAATCTTCATAATTACTTGGCATAAGTCACAATCAAGGAAATGTTGGTACAACTTAGTATAAGAAGTTTTTAGTATATAATAAGAAAACATGCCCTTCCATGAGTTTGTTTCAAGAATGGACACCGAGCTCTTCAACAGAGCAGGCACTGGTGAACTAAATTACATCACCTGAGATTCCCTGCTCAGGTGTTCACCTCTCCTGGTTTTAGGAAGAAGGCGGCATCTGGAAGGGTAGAGAGGACCTTGGCACTCTTGAGGCTCCAACTGAACTGTATTTAAATAAGCAGCAACACACACACTGACTCTCTAAGGACTAAAATCAGTCCACTTGAGGGCATCCTACTTAAGGTTCCAAGGTTGAAAAACACTTTAGAATTCTACAACCTTGGTTTTCCAAAAAAAAAAAAATACATTCAGAAAAACAAAAGAAAAATGGGTGCAGGGTTGGGAGAATACAAAAACAGGTCCCGAAACAGACGACAGACCTTGTCCATTTACCCGCATACAGTCCCCGCAGAATTAAGTATACAGCTGCCCCCCACCCCCACCACTCCACCCCCCAAGCAGGTGAAACAGGTGTCTTCTCCATGGTGGTTCAATACCTTCCAACTTGAAAGAGGTGACCATCTTTGGAAACAGTTACTCGAGGTTGTACAAAGGTTTTTATGTATATAGTTTGTTGCAAGTAACAAAACTACTTTGCAAGACCCGCTTTTTTCCAAAATTTAAAAAAATACTAGTATTTGTTTGAGTAAGAATTTTTTTTTTTCTTTTCTTTTTTTGCAAAGCAGCATAGCAACATTGTGATTGTAAGACGTGCCTGAGGTTGTGGTTACAACTGTAAACATTATTTGCACATCAGGAAGAAAACTGGAGGAGATGGGGGCCTTAAAAAAGAGAGAGAGAGAGAGAACAAAAAGATACAGTTCTCTAGAGAGGTCACTGCCTGCACTGCTCTCAGAGCTGCATCCTCCTGCGGCTTAGCTGACTGCGATCTTGTTTTCTTCCAGGAGGTGCGGGAACTGGTGTTTGGGGACATTGTCGGCCGTCCCTGGCTTCTCCACTTCGGCACCGACGGCAGACTGGGAGCCATCGATCTTGGAGGTGGCCGTGTTACTCAGCACGGAGCTGGCCCCCAGGGACACGGGGAGGGTGGGGATGCCACCACTCTGAATTACGGAGATCTCGTTGGTCTTCATGGCCAGACCGCCGTTGAGCATGGTGGCGTACTGGTGCCACACGACGGGGTCCACGCTCACCGAAGGGGCCGCGATTTCCTTGGGAAACATCTCGGGGACCCGCTTTCCGTCCGTGCCTAACAGAGCCATGGTGTTCTCGATGGCCAGCTTCCGGCCACGGCGCGCCGAGCTGTTGTTGGCCCCGTGTGTCATATAATGGACCTGCGGGAAGAGGGGCAGAAAGGTTTCCACCAAACAGGTTTTGGTGTGTGGGCCAAAGTCAAGTCTGCCCACAGGTTTGGTCCACCTAAACTTCTAGTTTAAAATTAGATGTCAGAATTCCCTTGTGGTCCAGTGGTTACGGCTCCATGCTCCCACTGCAAGGGGCACAGGTTAAAACCCTATATCAAGGAACTAGGATCTCACAAGCTAGAGAGCAGCCAAGAGAAAAAAATTAGATTTCATATTAAAAAATCCAATTATTCACTTGGGGGGAGAGAATAAAAATAAATAAATAAAGACTGTCTAGCAACAATGGACCCACATTCCTGCCTAGAGGCAAACGAAGTGGGGGACACACACTCCAATGTTCCCCATCCCACTATTCACGGGCACTTCTGTCAACACCTACTAGGTAGTAGAGTGTTGTTTCGGGTGCTAGGGTTACAATGTGTTTACCACACAAACCTACAGAGCTAACAAGTGGTATGGAACCTAAGGCATAGAGACTGGGCACAGGGGAAATGGGAAAATACGGGAGGCCAGTAGCGTACATCAGTGTCGATATCCTGGTTATTACTGATTCTATGCACAAATGCTAAGTTGATTCAGCCATGTCCAACTCTTTGCGACCAACCCCATGGACTGAAGCCCTCCAGGCTCCTCTGTCCATGGGATTCTCCAGGCAAGAATACTGGAGTGGGTTGCCATGCCCTCTTGCAGGGGACCTGCCTGACCCAGGGATCAAACCCACATCTCTTGTATGTTTCCCACATTGGCAGGTGGGTTCTTTACCACTAGCACCACCTGAGAAGCCCATTTATTCTACAGCTGAGCAAAATTAAAATTCTACCACTGGGAGAAATTAGCAGTGTGTGAGCATCTCTGTGCAACTTCCCCCTTTGTGGGAACTGACCCAAATAAAAAATCTGAGTTAAAAAAATTAACTTTTGAACAAAACAGACCCTGCCCTGATGGAGCTGACATCCTAAATACATAGTGTCAACAGGAGCAATCCTTGCTGAGGAAAAATTAAGCCTAGCTGGGAAGGTTACAGAGGCCACCAGGAATGAATGTTATTTCACTTACGGTGGGAAACAGGACAGGGACTCTTCTGAAGAGCAAAGATACTCGACTGCCTCCTGCTTCTTCAACCCAGCCTCCTTTCTGCAATTATTTTCCCAGTTTGGCTTTTGAGTTTTCAAATCCCTTTTTCAAAATAAAAAGTTGAAGACCGTGGTAGGCAGTCATCAAGTCTCAAAGCACAAGACAAACCCATAAAGGACTTATCCATTTTATATTACGAACATGACAATCACTATGTTTCCAGATCTGCAGGATTTTATGAAGGCAACTAACATCCCAACTGCAGAGATCTTCTAATGTGAGAAACCTGTTTCTTTTTGGTTTTTTTAACTGCACTGCACAGCTGGGAGGATCTTAGTTCCCCAACCTGGGCTTGAACCTGGGGTCCAGCAGTGGAAGCACACAGTCCTATCCACTATTCCTTTTTAAGAAATACTATTTCAAGAGCCAGTTTTGAGACTGCACGATGTAATATCCCACTTGGCCCTGATAGAAGGATTTATTATGGGTGAATGCTGCTGCTTAACACTGAAACCCCCTCCCTGCTGAAGCCCGAAGGAAGCTCACCTTCAAGTTGCCTTTGGTGGTGAAAGCACGCCCACATATGTTGCACACGAAGGGTTTCTCCCCGGTGTGAGTCCGCTCGTGGATCTGAAGCGCGCTGGCCGATGAGAAGTTCTTCCCACACCTCGTGCAGCCGTGCTGCTTGGCCTGTCGTCGGGGCTGAGCCGCTAGCAAAGGCGTCATACCTGGGGACATAGTCGCGGGACCCACAAACCCACCAGGAACTTCAACTTTGACATAGGTCGGCTGGGCTCGGATAAATGTCAATGGAACGCTGCTCCGACCTGTGCACAAGAAAAAAAAAACTTTCATCATCGCGTCATCACTCATTCTTCAAACCAAGAAAGGAGTTTTGACTACCACTGCCCTGCCTTTTGAGAGTCTGGAAACACCTTTCAGGAAATTCACACCTTGGAAGCAGCTTTCTTCTTACTTATTTAGCTACACAGAGAATAACGACTCCAAAACTTAAAAGAATTTTCCTATTGGGTGAGCCAAAAAATTCGTTCGGGTTTCTCCAAAAGAGATGGGCACGCCCAAACAGACTTTTTGGCCAACCCAGTATTTTGGCTTTTAAAAGTTATCGGCATCAGAAACACATGCAACGCAATTCCAAGTTCGATTCCCACATCAAGTTACCTTTAAAGTCTGCTCTGACACCATCTTTCCGATTCTAAATAGTGTTCCCCCGTTCGACCATTAATGCCATCAACAAGCACCCCACAATTTAAAATAGGTTAGTCTCTTTTCTCCCTCAAGAATTACTCATCTGTGATTCTTATATTAGGGAGTGGGATCTCTGAATCAAGGAACTATGAATTATCTCACTGGCGTCCACTTCCTCAAAATAGTCTTCTAAGAGAGCATTAACTTAAAAGAATTCCCATGTGGCCACCATGGGCCTCCAACACAAAGATCAAAACCAAGCAAAGTAAACTGTCCACGCCCAACCTGCAAGAACTGTCCTAAGTGAAAAGCATGTCAGGACTACGACAGAGGTAGTCACTAACTGCCCTACAGAGGAGCTAGTTCACTCTCCATCGGTCGAGGTGCCCCCAGGTTCCTTCCGGATGACCTCGAACCCAGAATGGACCTAAGTGAAATCCAAAGCTCTATCACCTTCCATCTCAGCGCGGCTGCTCTCGGAGCCATCCCCTTTGCCGTCGGCGTCCGGAGACTTGGACTTGACGCTCTCCGCCTGGCTATGGGCCGGCGAGACCGGCTGGAAGGACGTGCTCTCCAGAACGTCTGGGCTTCGGCTGGCGCACTCGGGGTCGCCCATCACCGAGGAGGCGTCGTCGTTGGTTAGGCCATCGCTCTCCGCGGACCCGTTTTCTCGGCTGCCCTGCCGCTGCAGGACAAGCGCGGCGAGCCCCGCCTTCACTGGGGCGTCCAGCGAAGCCGCCGTGGCCAGCCCCGGGGTAGGGGACACCGCGTGGACGCTGGTGAGGGGCCCGGGGACCCTCGAGGAGCTGCCGAGGGCCTCCTGGGGGCAGACTTCATCTACGTCGATGGCTTCCACGACCCCGTCGTGAGGGGGCGCGCTGGGGCTGCTGTTCTCCCCGGCCGCCGAGGGCTCGGGGCCCGCGAACTCGCAGGGGCTCTCGGGCAGAGGTGTGTTGGGGATCTGGCCGCCCATGTGCATGCGGATGTGCTGCTGCAGCAGGACCGCGTTGGTGAACTTCTTCTGGCAGATCGGGCAGGAGTGCTGCGTCTTCACCGACGCGCTGGTGCGGTGCACCCCCAGGTGCGTCTTCAGGTTGCCTTTGGTGGAGAAGGCGCGGCCGCAGACCTTGCAGGGGAAGGGCCTCTCCCCGGTGTGCGTACGGTAGTGCATCTTGAGCGAGCTCTGGCAGCTGAGGACGCGGTGGCAGATGAGACACTCGTTGGGGTCGCTGGTGGCCTTGTCTATGTTCTCCACCAGCCGCTGCAGCTTCAGGGTCTCCGATCCCGGCTCGGGCGGCCCACCCCCTGGAAAGCCTCCGACCCTGGGGGAGGGATGGGTCGGCCCCACCGCGGACAGGATGGAGCCGTCCTCACTTTCCGGAGACGGCCCGGGCTGCAGGTCGCCGGGCAACGGGCCCCCCGAGACGTCCTTGGGGTGAGGCCCCGAGGGGAGATTCTGAGCTAGCCCTACGACACTGGGGGTCCCCGCCGCGAGCGCGGGTTTGCTGTCTAGGGAGAGCCCGGCTTCCTCGAGGGGGGCGGGGCCGGCCAGCGCGAAGGGAAGGCCGCTGCCCACCGCCGTCTTGTCGTGGAAGTCGGCAAACAGCTGGGGGTTTGCCTTCACCTGGGGATGCCGGTGGAAGTGCACCTTGAGGTTGCCCTTGGTGGTGAAGCGGTGGCCGCACACGGGGCACACGAAGGGTCTCTCTCCGGTGTGGGAGCGGAGGTGGATCTGCAAGGAGCTATCAGTCCCAAAAACCTTGCTGCAGTACTTACACTTGTGCCGGCAGAGCGCCTCGTCCTTGAGTTTGACCTCCACCGGGGAGACGCTGGGGGGCTTCCCTTTGCCTTTCTTGGACGGGTCTAAGGCCACCGCGGAGAAGGGGCTCTGGAAGAGCACGGAGCCCGGGGCCTGGGGGAGCAGCGCCCCGGGGAGGCGCGACAGGACGCCGGGGAGCACCCGGGTGGCGTCCGGCTTCAGGGCGAAGGGCGGCAGCCCCGGGGAGGCGGAGCCGCCGGCGGAAGGGACGTTGGCGTGAGGTAGCTTGGCGGGCTTCAGGGCGTCCAGGGGCAGCCCGGCGCTCCCCGCCTTCTGGCTGAGCAGGGCCACGGCCGCCGACACCTGCTGCGACACGTGGCCCCCGAGCGTCTTCAGCGAGTCGGCCGCGTGGCCGGCGTGGAGGGCGTGGGAGGCCCACATGTTCACCTGCACCCGGATCTGCTCCGTGAGCTGGATCTGCTGCAGCTGCTGCTGCTGGAGGCACAGGATCTGCTCCAGGACCCAGGGCAGGCTGCCGGCACCGGGCAGGGGCGCCGGGGGCGCGTCGGCGCTGCGCTGGTTCACGGCCACCTTGGTGCCGCGCAGCGCCTGAAGCGTGACGTTGGTGTTGGCCACCTTGCCTTTGGGTAAGTAGCTTATGTCCTGCGGCGCGGGCGGCAGGGCGGCCTCCGTCTTCAGGTAGAGAACGGACTCCGCCCCCGGCTTCTCCCTCGCGTCCCCGGGGCCCCCGCCGCCGCCATCGTCCCGGTGGCCCTCCCTCCGGCCCGGGCTGAGCGGCTGCGGGCTGAGCACAGTCCCCGACAAGTCTTCGGACGACATCGGCCCCTCACTGTCCTTCAGGATGAGCACGGGGGGCGTTTTAGTGCAATTTTTCTTGTGGTCTAAGAACTCCGAGAAGCTGAAGAACTCGGCGCAGCATTTCTCGCAGACGTGGGTCTCCTCCCGCCGGGGCCGCTTTATCCCTGCTCCGTCCCCGTTCAGCTCTTCGCTGCCACCGGTGTATTTCATTGGAGCACCTGCGAAAAGAGAGAAGGAGATGAGAACTCCACCCTAGGAAGGACGCCGGCGATTGGGGGGGTGGGGGGGGACCACAACTCAGAATTCAGAGATCTTCATGATCTGTGTCCTAACAAGAAGACCATGGAAGGGAATGAGGGTCTCAGTAAGCCAACCATTCATGTAGTGGGTGGAATCAACCGCCAAATGTCCAATCCTAACCCGTTCCCCTGTGCATGTGGTCTCCTGGGGGAGGACGGAGAGAAGGCTCTGCGCAGCTTTAACTAGGGTGAATCCCAAGCCCAATGCCTGGTGTCTCTAAGGAGAAAAGGGACAGGAAAACTTCCCTGGTGGTCTAGTGGTTAAGAATCCACCTGCCAAGGCAGGGGACACAGGTTCAACCCCTGGTCCAGGAACATTCTACATGCCTCGAATCAATTAAAGCCCATGTGCCACAACCACGGAGCCTGTGGGCCTAGAGCCCATGTTCTGCAACCAGAAACCACCCCACAATGAAGCCAAGCCCTTGCACCGCAACTAGAGAAAGCCAGCATGCAGCAACAGAGACCCAGGGCAGCCAAAAATAAATCGAAATTTTTCTAAAAAAGACATGAGACAGAATAAGGCCACGTGAGGCCAAGGCAGGAGTTACAAAGCTCTAAGCCAAGGATGCTGGACCCAACAGAAGGCAGTAAGGAGGGTGCATGGTACACACTCCCCTTCTCTTGCCTCCAAGAGAAAAGGACCTGCTGCTCCTTAGTCTCAGGGGTCCAGCCTCCAGAAGAGTGCAAACAGACTTGTCTAGTATGTGCTCATTCACTAAGTCACGTTCGACTCTTTGCAACCCCATGGCTGTAGCCCGCCAGGCTCCTCGGTCCATGGAATTTTCCAGGTATGAATACTGGAGAGGGTTGCCATTTCCTTCTCCAGGAGATATTCCCAACCCAGGGATTGAAGCCGGGTCTCTTGCATCTCCTGCACTGGCCATCTAGTAATCTGTACCAACTTATTATTAAGGCAGTGCTGGGAAACTCAATATAATTTATTAGAATAATCCCCATGGAGCTCTCTGCCCCACCTCAGAGCTGGCTTACAAAAGCAAATGGATTGCATGTCATCCATTAAAATGACACTGGAAGCCTGCTGTTCATCTCCACCCTGGGTCCATCAAAAGTAAAACTGCAATAAATCACTCCTTCAGACAATGTGGTAACTGTACCTTCCCACCAGAGATGCTGGAAGTTTAAAGGTGCCAAGAACTATGACGGTGGTACTAAATTCACCTAAAATATGGAGACCTAAATAAGATGAAGCCGATATTCTGAGGAATGTTTTTTATGTGTGAGGAAAAAAAAAAAAACCACTGGAAAAAAAAAGGAAAAATTGCATGTCCAAGAAAAAGACTTTACTGACCTTCCTGATTATGGAAAACCTGTAGAAATACCACAGCATGACATTAAACAAAGAATGAAGCCCAATTAAAGAGGGAAGGGATGGAATGATGGGAATTTATTCCTCGCCCTCCATTTGCAGCTTCTACTACTGTTACATTAAATCAAACAAGCTTCATATTCTGGGCAGTTCTTTTCCTAAAAATGATTGGTCCCTGGGTTTCTTTTGCCAGTTGGGTCCCATTTCCTTCACGGTGACTGCCAGTCTGCATGCTGAAACAGCTATTGGGCAGCCATACTTTAGCCAGATGCCTGGGCCCTGGTGAGTGGAGACTCTGTAAATTACTTGACTGTTTTCATTTCCTGGCTGTTCTGTTGTATGTACACCGACCTGAGAAGTCACACAGGCACACCTCAGACCAGCACCCCAGGTGTGCTGAGCTGAATCACAGACCTTTGCATATGGACACAAAGATCCACCTAGGAAGACGGGTATTTTTCACAGAAATGTTTATAGCCACAAAAAAGGGGGGGGGGGAGATAAATTTTAGTATACCCACAGTATGAAAACAATGTGGAATTTCCATATGTCCTGATTTGGAGACAGAAGTTAGGTGGAAGTAGGTTACAGAACAATGTGCAACAAGTGACAGTTTTTGTTTAAAACAAAAAACACCTATTTGAAATGTACAAATGAATGGGGAAATAGCCAGGATGTCAGGAAGTATTCATTTATTTTTTAAATAAAAGAATCACTTTTAAAAAGAAAATGAACCTATTTTGCCTCTTCTTGGGTGATTATATTTCCCAACACCATGAGTTTTGACTGAGGAGTCAGTCAACAATTTGGGGGAGCGACTGATCTTGAAACAGTATACTTCTCTTAAGAAAGATCTATACTTTCCAACAGACTTTCAAACACTGGTTCTTTTAAATTTCCACAGCATAACCTTAATAAATTGACTTGATCTTTCCTAATTTCAGACTAGGTAATAATCAGAAGTTTAGCAAGGTATATGTGGGCTGGGGTGAGCCAAGGAAAAGAATAGAAATTATAGTAATCTACCATTCACAGGTTTGATATGGTAGGTTTACCCCTCAGGATTTCTATTAAATGTGTACAATCACGACAGCTGGGTTAAGTAATGTGATTAATGAGTGCTGATTACGAGTGTGGTGCCATCCTAGGATCTGGGGAAAGTACAGATACTGTAGGTGTTCAGTGAACATCAATTTCTTCACCTTGTCTATTTCAGTGGCTTGGTTACCTGGGCAACTAGGGCTGCTGAAAATAAGGCTTAATAACAGTCATTTAAAGCCTCACTCATTTTAACAATCCTTCTCACTTCCTACTGAGAGCAAGGCAAGGCTAGGGGTCTGACAATGCAAAGAGGAGCAGCCTGGCAGTCCCCTACCGCCCAGACTAGAACCTCAAGGTGCCCTGGGGTCCACGCTACATTCGTCCATTCCTATTAAACACCAGCCCCATTTACAGATGAGAAAAACAGACTCCCAGATGTGACTTACCTAAGACAACACAATAAAAAATGTAGTCATAGGTAACTGTTGAGCATTTACTATGTACAGGTGTAATTTATGTTATTAACAACTAACAAAAGAGACTATGACATTTAACAGAGGGGGAGAATGAGGACAGGACATTAACTTCCCCAAGTAGTGCAGCTAAAAAGCCCCGCACTGGACACAGATCCTCCCTCTGAACTCTTCATTCCTACACTTCCTTCCTCTCCTAGTATGTTTCTTTTACTGAGATGGCAACTATCTTGCCTCTTGCAGAAACCCCTGGGGAGGACAGGAAACCTTGAGGGGGCAGGTTGGGGTGGGGGGTGGGACAGGGAGGGTTAAGACACAATACACCCCAGCTATTTCCATGGGGTACAGTAAGTAGGTACCACCTTCCTTCCAACTCTACAACTGCTCTAAAGCAACCACACTCCCAAGAGTCAAGTTAAAAGTATTCATCAGTTCCCAGAATCATTAAGCTGGTGTATCTACTGGTACATTTATAATGGGGAGCTTGTGGAGGTGGGTTAAGTGGCACCATCTTTCTGGAAGTGCGACTCTGGCAATTATGTGTCAAGAACTTTCCAAGGGAAACTTAGGAGGTTTCTCTTGGGAGGGAAATAGACCAGCCAGGTAAATGCATAAATAGATACAACTTCTTCAGAGTACAGTCCACCACCATCATCCTTATAGTGCAATGCTTCCACCCAGCAACTCCTTTAGTTGGAATTTACTTTCTGTGATTCCAGGGTCAGGTCTCAGCAATGAACAGTCCAAACAAAAATAGACACACTCTGGTCCACCAGTAAGGTTCTGATGAAATAAATCAGGGTACAGAAAAAAGACGACTACTCTGTAGCTCTTCACTATATGTGCATGCTCTGTAGGACAACCACCCAAGAGTGATTTCAAAAGGAGGGAAAAAGCGCAGAGAACAGGCTGTACAGATAACGTGCTCCCCCCCTGCCATGTTTGGGAACAGATAGAACTATGTCCCTGGGAAACTTCTGAAATAAGATGCTGAGACTGGTCGCTGGCTTCTGGAGCACGGGTCTGGGGTGGAAGACAAACTTCAAAATGTATACACTTTTGGCTTTTTTTTTTTTTTTAATTAGCATGTCACACCCCTTGTCTCAGCCACGCTACTTCTGGAAACCTCTAGCAAAGCCCATGTACAAATGCCCATTCTGCTTGTTTAGCGCCAAAGCACAACTATGACCATCCCCCATACACTGCCACAGAGCACGCACTGCAGACTCACACCTTAACTCATTTATCTTTGCAGCCGCATAGACAAGCATCTGTGCTTCCAGTGTGCAAGCGCGGACACAGGCTCAAGAATAAATGACTCGACGTGCCACACTGTTCACTAGAAAACGCAAGAGCAGGGCCTCGAGTCTTAAATGCATTTAAAAAGGCACCAAAGTTAGTGGCCTCATTCATTACTCTTTCTGTTAGAACACTCTTTTCTTCATTTTACCCCTCTAGGAAAGCTTTTAGAGCACTTCCCCCCCTACTCTCCCCCAACCCAGTCCAAAACTTTAATACCACAAACATACTGTATATCTGTTTATGCACTATGATCCTTTGGAAGACCACAAACCACTGTAACACCCATAATTTTTTTTTTTTTTTTTTGGCCAGGATCCACAGCACACAGGATCTTAGGAACCTTTCCCCGCTGCAGTGGAGCGTGAAGTCTTAACCACTGGAACACCATGGAAGTCCCAAATTTACGTTTTTGTCTACCTCTCCCCCCCAAAAAAAGTTTTCACCCCCATGCAGACAGTATTCTTTCTATTATGAACATAGAGAACACACCTCAGCAGTATTTGCAGAGCCCGTGCCTATGTCAGGTATTTTCCTACTATGTTAATGTGGTTGTGTTACTGGAAATTCTGGTTACCTGACTGACTGCTAAATCTTCTTTACTGTGTTCATAAAGAAGCACATATTACTGTATCATGAATGTTTCCAATCATTTTTGCTCAGTGTATCTCAATGCGATTTATTTCCTTGGTATTTCTATGGATTTCAATAATTCTGTGTACTCGTTTCAATAACTCTGTTGGGGGAGGGGAACTGTGGCACAAAAAAGGTTAAGCTCCCTGCCCCAGAAGGACCCAGCAGTTCCCAAGAGTGATTTACAACCTGAATACCAGCTTGCCGGCACTGTATACACAGGCTCGCCTTTCTGCAGCCTCCAAGCAATACTGGCAACATCCCACTTCTTCACGCAGCAGGAGCTGTTTGCTGGTGCAGTGAAGTACTTCGACATCCAGACCACCATTGGCAAATACTGACAGTGTATTTGCCCAAGAGTAAGAGGACTCTGTTATGAACAATCGCTGGGTATGCTTAAGTTAACCCTTCCCAAAAGGAAAAAGCAAAGTTCAGAGGGATTACAGCAACTAGATCTTCCATCCTTGCACCCCACCCCCAACTCCCGAATTTTAGGAATGTTATCTCTCAGCATCTAGTTATCCAATAAGTTGGAAGAATGCAGTAAACCCAGCAGGGGGCTTAGATTCAATCACAGCCAAATGGATAGAAAATACTCTTACTATTGTATAGCAAGAAAAGCTCATCTGCCAGAGGCCAATCAAATTCTGAAGCCTATGAAAATGCTTGTATATCTTGAGACAAGCATTATGCCTGAAGCTTATCTTTTTTCCTCCCATTCCTATATTAAAAGAACTACAAAAGTAGATTATCTAAAGTACTTAATATCTCTTACCCCACCCCCACCAACAGGATAACTGCTTACCAAAAAACAAAAGGAAATTGAGATGTGCTTAAGTACTGAACCAGTTCAAAAAAAAGTGCTTAAAATTAAACCAGTTTAATTTTGCATCTGCATTCAGCAGTGTGAGAAATGCCTTTAACTCAATTTGTAGGTGGCAAATTAGAGCTGTAATTAAGTTTCCATTTAATAAAGATACAAAAAAAAAAAAATTGTTCCAAACGGTCTTGGATCAAAACTCAAGTTTGCTGAAAAGGAAGAAGTAAAAGAATCAAAGTTTTTTGTGCTAACGTGTGCAAGCTCTGCTGTTTATGCTAGATACATCCCATTTTGCCTCAACTGGAGCTCATCTTTTTTTTTTTTTAGTTCTACCAGTTTATTGCTACCAACCCATCTCCCTCCACCCTCGGGCACACATGCTCGGTCATGTAACCCCATGGACTGCAGCCCGCCAGGCTCCTCTGTCCATGGACTTTTCCAGGCAAGAATACTGGAGTGGGTTGCCATTTCCTTCTCCATGGAGCTCATCTTTTAAAAGCAAGTTGTAAATTTCATGCAGGCAGTTTTTGCTATCTCCTTCCCCAGAACCCCTTAGAACAAAACCTGACATGGACTTGAAATTTGGGGGGAAAAATGGATAGCGATGATGGGAGATGCAGTTCTTATCTGGATTTAGAGGCTTAGAAAGATGGTTTAGATGCTTTTTTAAGCAATCAAAAGCACACAGGTGATGGATGATGAAAAGGGACATCTTAAACTTTTTCCATCATTCTTTCCAAAGCAGTAAAGCCCAAATGCAAACTGTGTTTAATTTCCAAATTGCTTCCTGGACCCCTTATTCTAAGGCCTACAGCGGCCCAGCTCCTCCATCTGATAGAATACTGATAGAAAATCCCATCCCATAACCAACTCCTCTAAAACCACAATAAACACAACTTCTTGGATTTAGAGCAAGGCTCAAATCAAACAGGACAAGGAAACTCTGGGCAAGCCATTGCAACCAGGAGCTGTAGTTTAAACTGAGCAAAAACGAAAAGCAAAGGTAATGTACGTGAGTCTCCAGCCTGGTGTGTACTACAGATAAAACTGCAGAATTATCCCAGTTTGGCAGTTCAGCTGTCTTGACACAAATTTTTTTTAATTGTTATTTTGAATAAAATTAATTACCCATCACATTTCCAGCACACAGTGGGCCTTCTATAGTTGAAACTATCTAAATAGGGTGTTTCATCTTCCTAGTACTGAGAAAGACCCAGAAGCTCAGAAATCAAAGCTTACAGCTGAAAGTCTTACAACCAGATTGGAATGCACACCTCACTCTTATACGTTACAAAAATACTTCATTTCATCTAAAAAAAGGAAGCATTAACTCTATCCCTCCCTCCCAAGATGGCTCCCTAACATGAGGAAGGCTGAAGGAGCTTGAAGGATCAGCTAGGACCTGTGCAACTTCTTTTTAACGGAACAAAGAGGCGTGGGCAAGCTGTAGCCCTTTGGCTGGCCTTTGGGAAAGCCAGATGCAAACACAGAAACTCGGCCTGCAACATTCACTGAGGCCACTGTCACCAAGATTTCCCTTTCCCTCAATTAAAACAGAAACTCCCAAGTGTCCCCTTCTGGCTCTTTACCGCCGATGTAGGTCATTTCAGTTTAGAAACTGAGGCTAGGAGGTTATTTGAAATTGGGGAATCTTAATCGTTGATGGTTGTAATCCAGTTTAGCACAAAGGGCATTTGAACCTCTTTTGAAAAAATGCTAATTTTCCTGTACATGGCCCGAGTCCCCTGACCACCTGCAGATTTCTTGGATCTAACTGATGGCCAAACTTCATTTTCCTCCCTCAAAAAGTGCATTTCTTTTTTAAGTGGTCTCAAATCGGCTGTGCACAATAAGATCAGTCTAAACTGGATGTTTTTAATCATATACATACACACAAACAGGGCCTCAAACACAAAATGTATCCATTAAAACGGACTGCTTGGGAATGTACTGCCACTACCTTCTATTGCACGGCGGCAACTGGGGGCTCTGCAAACCCATACTAGGATCGAAGAATTCTTTCCAAGAATACTAAACACCTGGCAAAGAAAATTCAGCACCGCCAGGGAGAGCACAGGGAACTGACTGGAGTCCCGAGGAGCGCCCAGCCCAGAGCTCTTCAACCCCCCGGCCCCAGCGCGTCCCTCCCATCAGGTGGGAGCCGGTACCTGCGAGGGACCCGCCTCTCAGCCGAGCGCGAGGTTCCCAGCTGGGCCTCCAGGGGACGCCCGCGCGCAGCTCAGCGGCCACCGCAACCCCAGCGATCAATAGCAACTCCCCCTCCCCAATTGTGGAGGGAGCGCACGGCCGGGCTCGCGATCCTAACCAGCTCGGGTTAACTGGTGGCCGACTCCAGCTAGCGTTCATTTAAGAACGTCCCCTCGCCCCCCGTAACCAGCTCCCCCTAAGGTGCCAAACCCCACCAAGAGCCTAAGAGTACGCCCACCCAAAACGAAGCGGGTAGGGGGAAGGGGAGGTCAGAGCAGGACCAGGGGAGGGGTCAGAGCCAGGAGCTCGCCCCTCCTTCTCGGGAGGAAACGGGCGGGCGGCGGGTTAACCCTTTTGTTCCAGGTGGGCCAGGCAACGAAGCCTCTCCGTCCTTCCCCCCCACCCCCCTCCCAAGGCACAAAGAGAGGCCGCCCTCCCCCGACCTCCGGAGCGTGCTGCCCTGACCATTGACGCCCCCAAAACCTCAGAGTCGCCCCTTTGGTCAAGCCGATCTCCTTAACTTGCCCTAGAAAAAGATTATTTGGTGGCGGGGGGGGGGTGAGTAGGGATTTGGAGCGGGGAGGAGGATAGGGATTTACATTATCTTATAGATTGAAAATGTATTCCATTCCCTCCCCGAAATAAAGGGTACGGTAACCAAAAAGTGGCGACGGCTCTTTCCCTCGTTGTAGTGGATTGGGGCGACTGGGGTTGCCGCGCGCACCCCCATCACCCGCCGGGAAATTAGAAAGCAGGCGGCGAGGGCAGCGAAGCCTCCAACAAGGCCCGAGAGTAGACTGAAGACGCCCCCTCCCCCCACACGTACGCGAAAAACTTATCAGGCGACAATTTGGCGGGCCAGGGCGGGGGGGAGATAGTGGGAAAGCGACTCGCTCCTAAAGCCCCCGAGGTTCAATGATCAGGGAGAGAGGAGTCCGCTCGGCCGCTCCCGACTGGGCTGGGGGTCCCGAACTCCTCCCGACCCCGGAGACGCGCGGCGCGGAAGCGTGGGCCGGGTCAGCCCCCGGAGCTCGCCCTGGACGCGACCGCCCAGCCCTGGCGCGACCTCTCCCCTCCGGCCCCCGGGGCGCGCTTTGCGGAAAGCGGGCGGGCCAGAAAAGCCACGCGCAACGCTAGGCGGGTGCACCCCAGCGGGGTTGCAGAGCGCGCGCGACCCCCGCGCCCCGGGGCCCGCACCCCTCCCGCCGCCCGCGGTTATTTTTAGGAAGTCGGAAATCAAAGATGGCTGGAGGTCAGGCCCCGAAAGGTTAGGGCGAAGATCGGCAGGCGGCGTAGCCCCGGGAGAAAAGAGGGAAACCAAAAAAAGAAATTTTTGAAACAGAAAAGAAGGCAATCTTGTGCCCTCGTCCTCCACTTCTTCCGGCCCGCAGTCCCCTCCGCAGCGCGGGTGGCCCGCACCCCAGCTCCTGGGGGGTGGGGAGAGGTCGCGCCCCCTCCCCCTCACGGCACGGGAGGGGCGCGTGCAACAGATCGGCCTCCCCCGGGGGTCTTCCCAGGGTGCGCCCCTTCCCCAGCCTCCTAGAAAAGCCCCCAAAGGGTGAAGGAATAGAGTGGGGACCCCCGGCGTCTTTTCTTTTAAAAGCGGCGCCGGGGGGGAGGAGGGGAGCCTAAGTTACAAGTGGGGGGGGTTACTAGTGAGGGAGTGCGGCCAATTAAGAGAGGGGCAGACGACGCGGAGAAGGGGACCTCTCGGGAATGAGGGGCAGGCAGAGGCTCGGGGTCAGTCCTACACTAAGAGCGAGACCTGGGGGTGAAACTTCCACGAGAGAGGAGAAGCGAGAAAAAGTGTAAAATTAACGAGAGCGGGGGTGGGGGTGGGGAACCAGGCTGCCGGTTCGCCCCTGGAACTAAGCCCCCGGATCCAAGTTCCCGAATCTGCGGAGGGAGCCGCGGCCTCGCCAAAGCCCGCGCCTCCGAGGGGCGGGCGGGCGAGCGTCTGGGAAGCTGCCCGCCCGGGGCGTGCGCCCCCCAGCCCCACTCACCCGGCGCCCCCGCCGCCGGCGCCGCTGGGGCCGCATCTGCAGACTCGGGGGCCGGCTGCTGCGGCTGCCGCTCGCCCTGATCCTCCTCCGAGTTGATGTGCTGGGGCTTCGCCTGCTTGCGCCTCGACATGGTGCGAGCATCGGGGCGCCTGGAGAGCCGCGGTTATTTGCCCACTCCGCCACAAATTCCTGGAGTTGGGAAATTTACCCCCCTTCGGCCGGAACGCGCATGTCCCAGTAATTATTATTATCAATAATGCATTGCGATTTATCATGAGCCCTGACAGCTGATTGGCCTGGGTCCAAGACCTCAGAGATCATTTAAATAAGCCCTCATTGATCAGGGAGGGGCGAGGCATTCTGGGCTTTGTAGTCCGGCCCTACAAGCGACAAAGGCGTGTTCATCGGGGGAGAGCAACTAATTAGCATTCGGGCTCAGATTGGCTGGGTGCTGGGCGAAATCCGAGGGGGGACCATCCTCGCTACAGCTATCTGAGTTCTGGGAGAGAAAGAGAAAAATAATTGTGTACTTACTAAAAACTAGGAGTTTCCGTAACAGTTTTGGAACAAGCGTATTTGGTAGTGTGCTCCAAAAATTACTTTTGTAAGGTTGATAACCGCGCAAGCTGGGGAGGAAGGTCTTTCCAGTGAAATATTTTGTCTCAATTTTTACCTCTAACAAAAAAATAAACAAACAAAAAACCCTGAGATTTGACCCTTGTCCCCTCCCATCTCCTTTTTCATTGAAATGTTTAAATTGAGTTTTGAGATATCCGAAGAATGGCGGTATATTCAACCTTCCCCCCTCCTCTCAACCCTTAAAGTGGCCTTCAAATTTCCCAAATTTCAGAGTAGCCCCTCGCCATGATTTATTTCCTTTAAATGCTAAATAATAACCTCCAAGATTCATACGCACAAAGTCTGGTTTTCTGTCACAGTGCAGGTCTTGATTAAAAAAAAAAAATTTTAAATGACTGGATACTAAATATAGAAAAAGTAGATTAAAAACAAGTATAGTCAGAGATAATATCAAAACACGGAGAGGTTGTGTTTCTTCCCCCCACAAGCCATAAATGTCTGCTAACATCTTATAACTGAGACAATCCTCTTACCTCTCCCATGATTGAGCAACGGGCATTGTCAGAGAAACTGGGTGTTGCCAAGCTAGCCATTATTGGAATTTTTTTGCTATACCAACTTTCCCATCGAAAAGATGTATATAGTTCAAAGTGATTGCCTCACCCTGACTTGGAGACGCCTGAAATCTTCTAAAATTGTGTATGTGTGTATACAAATTCCTATAGTAAATTAACATGTATTTTATTCCATTAACTCCCTTGCACGGTATCAATACTCAGTGTTGAGTAAATGATGAAATATTCAGCCTTCGAAGTCTTTGACTCAGTGATTCCCTGATTCCTCTCCGCCTGTCTTAATTTAGCACTGACTCCATTGTAGGGAACTATGCAATTATAAACCCTTCTTCCACATTTGTGCATTGCATTTTCTTGATTAGTTATTCATCAGGTTCCCAGCTTGTAACAGTTTCTTGTAAGCTCATCGGGAATGCAAGCAAAATAGAATGCTAAGCTGATAAATATGTTCACCTGGTTGTTTGGACAACCCAAGGCAGAAAATAAATCAGCTTGATCATCTTTTTCATATTCATGGTCATCAATAAAAACTTACTGAAGGAAGTAAGGTTAACCTCCAGTTTTTGAGTCTTTGTTTGAATACTTGGAATTGTTTTAAGTTCCCTCAACCAGAAAAGATAGAATTACAGTCAACAGCCCAAGTTGGAAATGTAAGAATTTGGTTTCATAATACATGGAAGCTGTTTAGCATTCTCATACTGAGTAAAAAAGCCAATTAACGCCTGCCTGGCTGACTAATCTGCTTATATTCCCAACACCTTTTCTGTGTAAGGTAGGCGATGTAATTTACCAATGTAAATGCGTGTGCATAGAGGCTTACAGCTCGTGAAATATTAGTGGTTTAAGGAAAAGTTCATTTCACATGTAGGTGAATATTGAAAAGAAAGACCCAGTACACTTTTCAAATCTACCTCCTACTGATGAGCTGCAGCCAGGAGCTAGAAACCAGAGGCAAAGTAAGACCTTAGAACAAAGCGGAGCGGGGTGAGTGGTGCAGAAGGCTAGTCTCTAAGCCAAGGTAATTTTTTGATTATTTAATATTCCTTATAAGCAACCAAAAGACCTGCATGTGTGATGAGAGTCAGGGAAGAGAAAAAAAAAAAAAAGATCACTGTACAGGGTTAAACTTTGTAATGCCTTTTGTTAGATGACTGGGTTTATGTATAATCAATCAGGTTCTTCTCCTGTTTGCCCCAGACAGAAATTGTCGGGAAATTGACTTCTTTACACCTTTCCACAAGCAGTCAATGAACACTGAGGCTTTATTGTGTCTAAGGGTATTTGGGATACATAATCCCATTTTTATCGTCATTAAAATCCTTTATTATGGAGAAGGAAATGGCAACCCACTCCAGTATTCTTGCCTGGAAAAGGCCATGGACAGAGGAGCCTGGCGTGCTGCAGTTCTTGGGGTTACTTGACTGAGCATGTGTGCCCGAGGGTGGAGGGACATGGGTTGGTAGCAATAAAGTGGTAGAACAAAAAAAAAAAAAAAAATCCTTTTTTATTCCCATTTCATCCAATGCCTCCTGGGTACTAACAGATGTATGATGAACGTATAAATTCAGGAACTTTCCAGTTAAAGCTGTCTGTGGAACTCAAACCTTCCAAGTCCACAGAATCCTACCACTGCTGTGTTCTGCAAGGAACTTTCTCCCCTCCTATTCTTTGCCTCTCTTCACCTGCCCATTTCTACTAAGCCCCCAGTCTCAGCTTGAATTTTTCTTCCTAAAACCGGTTTGTTCTCATCCAAATTAGAACAGTCTTGCGTATTAGTGTAAATCTTTTAGAAGCCAGTTCTTTCCTTTTATAGCATAGTTCAAAGTGTATAATTGTAGATTGAATGGTATATGCGTTTATGATTGCTTTTGCACAGTGCAGTCTCCACAAGGGCAGACACCTCCACCCCTGTGTCTCTAGCACAGCCATCGTAACAGAACAGGGAAGTCACAGCCAGTGACTTTGGAGGAGGATTTTGGGGGACTGAATATAAAACAGGGTATTAAAAGCCAATTACCATTGATGGAGAAGCTGGTGCTGAAGCTTAAACTCCAATACTTTGACCACCTGATGCGAAGAACTGACTCATTTGAAAAGACCCTGATGCTGAGAAAGATTGAAGGCGGGAGGAGAAGGGGACGACAGAGGATGAGATGGTTGGATGGCATCACGGACTCAATGGACATGAGTTTGAGCAAGCTCCAGGAGTTGGTGATGGACAGGGAGGCCTGGTGTGCTGCGGTCCATGGGGTCGTAAAGAGTCAGACACGACTGAGCGACTGAAATTAACTGAACTGACCACTGATGGAAATGTACAATGTGCAACTGTCATGGTTTCTTAAAAAGTCAAAATAGAATTACCATAGGATCCAGCATTTCCACTTTTGGGTATGTGAAAGAACTGAAAGCTGGGACGTCAACAGATTGTTCATGCATATTCATAGTAGCATCATTCACAGGCATTAAAAGGTGGACAGAACCCAAGAGTCCATCAGCAAGTAAACGGCTGAACAGACCGTGGTGTCTACGTATAATGAAATATCATTCACCCTTAGAAATGAAAGAAATTCTGACTTGCTACGGCCTGGATGAACCTTGAAGATATTACGCCAAGGGAAATAAACCAGTCCCGAAAGGACAAATACGATTCCAGTTCTATGAGGTACCTAGAGAAGTCACGTTCATGGAGACAGAAAGTAGAGGGGTGATCACCAGGGGCTGGGTGGAGAGGGAAATGGGGAGTTATTGTTTAAAGGGTACGGAGTTTCAGTTTTGTAAGATGCAGAGTGTGCTGGAGACCGCACAATAATATAAATGTTCTCTTACCACTGAAGAGTTCACTTAAAGATGGTTAAATGGTAAAAATTTTATGGTATGTATATTTTACCACAACTGGAAAAAAAGGCAATTACAAACTGATGGCTGCCCAACCATATATATTTATTAAAAATCACTGAAGTGTACACTTATAATGGGTGAATTTTATATGTACAGCATGTCTAAATGAAGCTGTTGTTAAAAAGGTGATCAGGTATTTATGTTACGCTGAATGCTCAGTGATGTCCGACCCTTTACGAGCCCGTGGACTGTAGCCCTTCACGCTCCTTGGTCCATGGGATTTCCCAGGCGAGAGTACTGGAGTGGGTTGCCACGTCCTCCTCCAGGAGATCCTGACCCAGGGATGGAACCCACGTCTCCTGCATTGTAGGCAGATTCTTTACCACTGAGCCATCTGGACTTCCGTTTAGATATTTGGTTGAAATATAATTGAAAGAGCCATAATTACCTGTGTGTTTTTTCCTGTGTGGGATTCCCAGCATCTTAGTCTTGAAAAGACAGAAATGGCAAAGCTGGTGTCCATAAATCACAGTCTGCCACTGTGAAAGGATTGCCCCATTGGGCCCCTAATTATTTGTACCAGGAAATAGCTAAGCGGACCAATGTGGTAACCACTGCTGCTTTAATTTGGGAAATCTAAGGTTTGGATTCAGGAAGTAAAAGGAGTGGATTTTTTTCTCAACATGGACCAACCTCTTGGAGGCTACGGACTCATCGATTTGATATCTGCCTGCCTCAAATAGAAGGTTTTGTATGTCAGGAAGCAGCCGTTCAAATCTAGAGATTTAGAAGTTGAGGGAAAATTGCTTCAGAATTCATCTTTGTCATTCACTGGGAGTGCTTTATTATGGGGCCGACTGTCCACTCTTCTGAGCATCCTGGCCCAGAACTCTTTTATTGAGATGATTTATATTTGCAAAATCTGGCTAATTGCAATAATCACCACTTAAATGATGATACTCTCCCGATTCCTGTTTTAATGTCTCTCTGCTTGTTAACATTTTATCAATCCCAAATTGGTATTGAACAATTTCTAGCTCCAATTAGTCTTCCCTGTTAATACATCCTCTAATATATTGAAGCCCACAACTGCATACTCAAAGGAGAAAAAAAAAAAGTACAGCTACCCCAGCAAGTT